AAATCGACGATGGAGCATGCACACCTTAACAATGCCTATTCACTCTCACCTTGAATATAGCCCAAGATATATAGTCTGCAGGCAGGGAATTCCACTATATGTGGGTGGAATCCCAGCCTACGTCTGGTCCCCCGATAATGGAAAGGGGACGGCGGAATCAATTCCGTCGCATACTCTCCGCGATATATCGTGTAGAATACCGATATGCAGGCTACTTTACGGCGGTGCTCAAGGCTTTGCAGCTTCAGCTCTGCGTCTATTTCACACGCTTTTGAAGTACTTACGCAACCACCAGTGGCGAAGCGTGGGGGGTGCAGACGGGACCATGGCCCCGGATAAATTCCATTAATTAAGTAAACGATATTCTGAACAACACATACAACATAAAAACACAATCGAGCCTAGCCTGCCCGAACGAACTACTTTTGTAATCATGAAAATAGAGGGGGCAGTAAATTTAAGGTTGACCCCGGGCGGCAGAAATCGACGCTACGCCGCGCCATGGCTACTACGATATATTTCGCCATAAGGCTGCGATTCGACCAGAGATGTTATTTTTTTTATAATATCAAGTGACTAGCTACACGCCTGTCTATAACAGTTATAGTGCTACTTAGAGCTTGAAATCGCAAAGATGTGCACTACCACTGCACCCGTCACTCTTAGACATAGGTTGACAAGGCCCATGTGCCTGTAATTTCATCAGCACCCTTACCCTCCAAAACCGGAACACATTAATGCTGATATCACTGCTTGGCGGCAGAAATAGGTAAGATTAGGTTACGGCAGGACGAACTCGTCCACAAGGACCTCTACTGCTACTAAATGTGCGAGGAAAAAATCCACCAATAGGATTACTTCATTTTCGGGCCTTATTACAACGAGGGTATATTATGGTACATCTAGTTTCAATTTTGTATTTTCCAGGACTCTATAAACCTTTCCTTCGTGATGAGCAACATCACTATTCTGGGCTACCAGTTTCAACTCTACGGTGTCAGGAATACCGGCCTATTGACGGAGTTACCGATGCAAATTATCGAACTGTGCACCTAAAGTGTTTTAAAGTTATCATTTTAAAATAAATGTTTCTCTATACTTTCGTCTTTGCTATTTTATTTTGCACTGGCAATTTACTTCGCTTAGCTTGTTGTTATAATTGGTACAAAGATGGAACAAACACAAAGAAAAATTCCATCGGTTCGGCTCTCCGAACTCGAACTAACGATATTTTTGCCTAGCTCGGGCTATCGCTCTCCGAATTGAGCTACGGAACGTGTCAGCAGACTTTACGAATTTCTCTATTGACGAGCTTACTGCAGATCTTTGTTTCTTTTAATAATATTTTTGTGATCTTTGATGTTTCTTTGAAAAAAGAACCTTAAAAAAATTTCAATAGATAATTAGAAGATCTTGAGTCTAGCTGTGAGAGCCATATTATTATATGATTTTATAACACCATCCACGTGCAAGAAATATTAGCAACCTTGCATAGCCGCTAGATGGCGTTGGAATCAAAATGTTTAAGATTACCATTTAAATTGTAAAAGGAAGTTGTTTTGTACCGAATCATAGGACCTGTGAGTGGCACTCTAGTACTTCCACCTGGTGGGATACTAGGTGGGGCGGTGAGCTGACATCGATGAAGAGTGCGATTATATAGATCATACAAGTACGTCTAGAGACACGGTATCGAATCAATGAACTCATGAGTAGTATCGCATAAAAAGTATCGATATTTTTTTGTCCTACAGATTTTCTCTACTTAAAGGCAGAATAAAACACGTGAATTTGTCTTTTGTATTGATTTATGATTTATAATTGAGACAAATAGTAAAAGAATTTGATTAATTTAATTAATTCGTCGATTCAATCAATCGTCATTTCACATAATTTGTGTTACATAAATTTCCAATTTCCCACTCCTCCTCTGTACAATCACTTAAAAAAAAAGTCTATTTGGTGACGGTCTGTTTCTCGTTTTTGATACTGTATTGCCTGCTTTCGAGAACAAACGTTCTGAAGAAGGGAGAAACTTCTTTTAAAGAGGCAAATGGTGGCATACAATATACAGCCAAGTAATTTTTGATAAAGGTTCCCATTAAAAAATGGCCAGGTGGCTTGTGTTATGTTATGAGGTGTCCTAAGGAGGAATTATACGAAACGATACCATACTTGTCAAAAAGTACTAATGGGAAAAGTACTCGATACCAAAAAGTATTGATACTTTTACCGTGTCCCTAACTACTTCAATAAACGCCGTTGAACATTTGGATTTCTTCACCCTCTCTTGCTTCGTATAACTATTACAATTTTAAATATTATTATGAATGAAGATGCGCGTTTCGCTTGGAATATCGACAAACGTTCGTTCCTTAGGGATCCATTCGAGCTTCATTTGGTAACACCATGATATGACGGCTAGACTATGTGTTATTTCACCAATTAGCGCCGTTTTGAGAAGTCTATTATCATAACGCGCCTGATTCTACAACTAAGCAGTACTAAATAATTGTTTATTTAAGTTATTTCATATTTATATAAACATAATAAATATTTACAGTATTATTGATTTCTTAGGCTTTTTGGAATACATTGGAAATGGAACTAATTTTTTCAGCACTGTATAGGGCTCCATGGTGACGACTAACTGAGATAGTAAACTCTTCCGCCTACTAAAGCTAAAGCTATATTTTTAATTTACCAAATAATATTCCAATTTAAAGTATACAATATTTGCAAATATTTTATTTTAACAATATAAATTCATAAATAATAAACAACACACACACTCATAGCCCCGCACTTGGGACCCAGTTACATCCAAAGTCATGAGTCAAATAAATGTAGGCCATACAAATATTTCTCCCGGCTCGGGAATCGAACCCAGGACCCCTGCGTGGTAAACCAGCATGGTAATCATTCAGCCACGGAGGCAGTTTTATTATTATTATTATTTATCTAAACGGATTCATTACTAGGAAATATGAAATAACTAATTAACGGACACACTCATAACCCCGCACTAGGGAAACCCTGTGTCGTGGGTGCCATGGACACACATAGACAACCGCAAATGACAGCCAAACTCACGAGAGAAATAAATGTAGGCCATGTAAATATTTATCCCGGCCCGGGACCTCTGTGTGGCAGACTAGCGTGGTGACTTATGCTTAAATAGCATGGTGTAGTACTGCAGTCTTCTGTCTGCTTGAGTTTGTTCATCAAAGGAAATACAGGATCCCAAGCTGATGGTACGGAGACACCATCTTCCCTGTTGAAATTATGAAGGTTTTCATTTCAACGGGCTCGTAGAAACGGACATCTTTTACAAGGTCCTGGGATTTTATAATTAGTAATACAAAGATCGAACACTCAGAAAAAATCCTTCGATCCGGCCGGACTCGAACCGACGTCTTCTAGCATACCGTGCCAGACACTATACCAACTAAGCCACGGAATGAACCAGCGGACCTTACGAATTTATATTGTGTTTGTTGTCATCTTTGCATTTGGTTTTTCAACGACTTTTTAGCCGTAGCGCCATCTATGAGAAATTGAAAGTATTTCGTCACACAGTTAGATACCTTTACAGCTACCAGCCCCGGCTAGAGCTTATAACAAACTAGTGGAGTAATTTCACTAAAAAATATTGAATATCAGTACCGGGATTTGTTCAATTTAACTGAAAATGTAAGTTTATTAATGACATGTTTGCAGTCCACAGATTTTCTTACGCGACATTGCTTGATAACAGCTGCTTCGTTTCGTCTGTTCAATTTACGAGAGCCGCTTTGAAATAAATTCGGGTTCAGAGGGTACAAATTAAACGTAGACTCGAGGTGCGACCGAGACCGGGACTGGATGCGACTTAAATTGAATTATTTTTGACAAGCAAGCAGCCCCAGGTCACACGACACTCGTATTTAGGTTCATTCGGGTTCCATTGCAACTTTAAACCGAGCCTGGGGTTCAGATACTACAAGCCCGTAGAAGTCACAGTCAAGCATATGTTAAGGGATGTCACATTTCACGGGTTTCAGGAATTTGTAAAGAACGTTGGTTTGATTGAAAAAGATACATGATTTAAATGTAGAAAAATGTATATCGTATAGTATATATGTTTTATTTAGTTCAGTTGATATTAAAAAAATCATTGGTTTATGTAAAGTGGCTACCTAATGAATGCAGCTGTTTTCTTGCAAAATTTCGAGGTAAGTTTGTATTTTTTCTATCGAGAAAATTTGTAGGAATCGTGTTTTCAAACCGTATAGTAATCCGTGTATATCTTCAATTTTAATATTTTTTCCAAAGTTCTACACTTTCACTGTTATGCGGGATCAAGCAAAGCCATTCGAAGTTATACAACTTATACGACTCTTAAACAAAAATTACTAGCAATGAAGTGTAATTTAGCTGATTAAAACCTACGTTTATATTATAGTGATGACTAAATGATTTCATATATATTAAATGAGCTATGTGTGTTACTCACGGATTTTGTTAACTTATAAGAGTCACGCTAAGTATAAATGGAATAGGTAGTGATTATGTACCCGATTACGACGAAGTTAGGAAGGCGATAAATACGTTTAATTTTTGAGTGGGAAATAAAAATTGGTTATTTTTGTAACGTAGTTAAGCATCGTGAAATCATAAAGTGATTGTGGGGTACACTTTTCATCAAAGCGACGGTGAAATTTCAATAGCTTGCGATTTATTACTTCTAAGTAGAGTAAGCATACGCCTCATAAATGTTATTTTTGTCACGTAGTTGAGCCTCATGAAACCATGTAGTGGTTGGGGGTACACTTTCATCAAAGCGACGGTGATTCTTTATTGAAAATATATAAACAAATACAAACAAAATGAAAAAGAAAACAAAAAATAAAAAATAAAAACGAAAAAAGTGTAGTAGACAATGCAGATTTTAAAACTTTCGTGGTTTTCACTAAACGATTATGTGTGTAACCGGCAAATTAATAAATAAAAATACTCACAACCAGCTTCCATTAGTCCAAATGTCTCTTCCCTCCACAAGAAACGCCAGCGCCAATAAAAACAAGAACCGGAACTCACGCGCCGCCATCTTGTACTGTCCAGTCATCACACAAAATGGCGGACGTCACATCTTTCAATCTTTGTTTGTTTCACATGTCACTTTTATCACTTTATTTATGGTTATTTTACACTTAAACCATGTTTATAGGTAATATTATAATGTTAAATGACGTATAATTCTGTTACATCGCAGATATATTTAAAATTAACATTTCAACTCGTGGAAAATAGAAATAAAATAAAAAGTTCAGACAGTAAAATATACAGATGTAATAATTAATAAGATTGGGAACTATATATGTATAAATGCACTGCAAATCAACCAAGTTGATGTCAGCAATGTACGCTGAAGTGCGAGTGGTGGTGAATCTATTTCACCGTAGGAGCAACTACATTGCTTGATGTGTTTGAAAAACAAGTCTATCTCACGAAGTCTCTACGTTATAATTTCCCAAAGTGGTCCCTACCAGTGGGCGTAGAAACTGTCCATGGGGTGCTACCGCATTTGAACAAAAAACTGAATTATCTATGTAAACTACACTACACATATATGTTTTTTTTCTTGTAATTGTTTGTGTTACGTTTAATATAAGAAATACGTATTTATTTCGTTCATATAGAATATGTACCTAGTTTTGTTTATACGAATATTTGTTAACTTAGTTATTTTTGCGACACGTTCGAATACATGGCATTCACTAATCTTCCAAAATTGACTTTCCCGAACAAAAATGCAAAGAATTTTTGAGGCGTCATCTATTATTACAACATAGAACTATTTAATTTGAATCTGTCACGAATATCTCAAAATAATATACCTTCAATAATTTGTACCCGTGGTTAATAAGGCCACATCAGAAGAGAGGTTTAAAAAATTCCGCTAACCAAATTAGTCGAATTTTTTTCATGTTTGCATAGACAATTGCACATATTCATAATTTATTTATTATTTTAAAGACTTTCGTGAGATAAAAGCACTTGACGAATGATCACGTGTGGCTTTATTACAAGTACCAAGACTTAATTCACCGCCAACTGTGATCTTAACGGATATTTAAAATATGGTGATTATGTTTCTAACGTAGTAAAAACTTTTCCGGCCGTTAAGTAACGCAATAATAACCTATTTTTAACCGACTTCCAAAATGGAGGAGGAGTTGAGGAGTTCTCAATTCTATCGTATTTTATTGGTACGTATGTTACGGCATTGCTATTATTATTATTATTACTCCATTTGTGAACCGATTTTGATGATACTTTTTTGTTAGAAAGAGGGTACCTCACTATTAATCCCATTTAAGATTGAAGAAAATACAAGAGATATTCTACTTTTAAATGTGGCAATCTAGGGGATGCATCCGGTCTCCCGCTCTTTCCGGTAACCGATTTCAATAAAACTTCCCAAATAGATGTCATTCCGCGAACTTTTGAGGTCGTTTTTATTTTTATAAAACGAACAAACGTCATTTTAAATTAATCAGGCAAATAGAAATGTCAAATACATAAACGTTTGTATCTAATTCCAATTAAACTGGACTCACTTTTAGATAGAGATCACTATTAATCTTCTAAACGAGTGTTTTTATTATAAACCACTACACACAAGAACACAAAACAAATTAAAGACGTAATTAATATGAACAATAAATAATGTATAAACGTGTGGTGCTAGCACCAATTATCTGGTCCTTTGTACAATAAGTACCCGAGTAAAAGGGTCCTGGATTACTTTTAGTCATATTTATGACATTGTTTACTTTAGTGACCTGCTTTAAGCAGTTATCAGTGACAGATAAAACCTGTCTATCATTCCTCAACTTAATAAGGCCGACCACTCCCTGGATTTTATACTTATATTTCATAGAGTCGAGAGACTTACTTGTTAGTTATAGTTCTTACTGTTTTCAAATGCCAAGTTTCGGAGGTGTTCGTGTTTTACGGAAATTGACGACAATTCTGCTCTCCTACGCCATTTGCATTTCGGTAACTTTAGTGATATTGGCATTATTGTCACCTAAAACTATTTCAATTATACTCAGATTTTGCCTGAAACTAAATAAGATATTAAATTACAGATTCCGCACAATTATGAATCAAAGTGTTAAAGTCAAAGATCATTTATTCTGTAGGTAAAATAAATTTACACTTGAAAACGTCACATTTACATCACATTCAGCTACTGCTCGTTCACTACGCTGACTTCCCTGAGAAGAACGAGCAAGAAACTCTAGGGATTGCTCTTTTCAAATAAACTTAAATGCTATGGCTACATAATTGTATTTTCTAATAGTTTTTAAGTATTGCGTTTCCTATGTGGAGAAATAAATGTCCTGTTATTTTTATTTATTTTTTTAACTTGACGGTATATTATGTTACTTTTTTGCGACCGCTAACAGCACTGCTGCAAAAATTGTCATACAAAATCGTCAAATATTGTACGCGGTCGTTAGTGACAATAGTCAGTGTATACTGGTTTTATGTCGTAGTCGTTAAAACTCTACAAAAAATAAATTGTGGACACCCTGTACTTTTCAATCGTCTTATTGTACAAAAACTCTTCTTATCTAGAAGAATAATAATATAAAACTGACTCCGTGATCGAACGGTTGCCATGCTGGTCTACCACACAGAGGTCCCGGTTTAGATTCTTGTATATATGAGAAATATTTAATAATAACAAAAAATAAAATATAACCTTCATTTATTTACCCGCGTTACAGGGTTTCCCTAGTGCGGATCTATAGTATAGTGCGGATATATAGTGTGCGTGTTAATGAAATATATTTCTCCCATATTTACACTAATTGTTTTTAATATTTAATATTGCCTCGCCAGACTCTTTTATCACTCTTTCTCCCACCTCCATCTTACTAATCCCCTTTCCAAATTTCATTACTGTACTATGATATTAAGTCTGTCTTTTTCGAAGACGAAGTAAAATGACATTTATAGATATTGTAGATAGATATATTGCCAACTTTCATAAAATTTTAAATAGTTATGTAGTTGTTGTCGACAGTTTTATCGATGGATTGTGAAAGAAGACAAAATATTTCCAAAAAGGACTGAATTGTGAATGTTACGACGTTTTAATGATTACTAATTGCGTTATTGCCTTCTTTATTCTTATTTTGACAGTTGACTTATAAGTATCGAGATAAATTTTTATTCATATACATTTTAACAAGAATAGCCGGATTTGATTATCTATTTTGAATTAAAATGAAAATCTTGAAAATATGTCTCTTTGTATTTTTCATAAACATTGTTTTAAATACAGTGTATGTGTGTATTGAATACACAAAAATTGACAATTCAAATGAACTTGTGCTCAATTATGGGATGGATAATGGGTCGAGGATGTTTCAAATGAAATAAGTTCGGCTATTATACCATATTTTATACCATAAGCGAGACCAATATTCAATCGATAGTCGATAGAATATTTATCGACTGCAATCACTACTCCGTCTTCAAAAAAGAGAGACAATAAGTATCTCCGATTTAAGAACAAGTCAAAATACTTTGCTGAAATGCTAACCGCGGAAAAGTCAAGTAAAATAAGAAAAAAAAACCTTGTAATAGCGATGGTGTATTGAATTTTGACATCAATGTAGATACGTATTGGCGTGTAATATCGACGTTCCACATCTAACTTGTCAGCCTTGGTTCAGTATTAACCAGATAATATATCTTTCTTTCATCAGGATAACAAGTCTAATTAACTGGAACCCTTGAGCAGACGTCTAAACCGATTAGCTTTGAGGCTTTAGCTAAGTACATTGTCTGTCGTACTAATTAATTGATTGAAGATGAATCCGCTTAAACGATTTAAAATGGAATTGTATTATATATCATCTGTTCGGAGTAAAAACGGTAACCTATCACAAAGTCGAAATTTTTTTTGTCCGAAATAACGTTTGTTCGAATTTTCATTACACCGAAAACCGAATTATAACGAAACAGTTGTTCTTTCAGGATATGTTGAATGTTTATCGCAAAGACACGATTAGGTTCGGTTAGGCTTAAAAGAAAAAACATTTTCATCCTCATCCTATGCGCCGCAAACATTTAGGGCGCAGGCAGCTGGCCTATGCCAGCCAACTGCCTCCCTGACAGTGAACCCTGAGTGGCAAAACGGGGGCTTTCACTCACTGGGCAAGGTTTCACGGGTTGATTGGCATGCCAAGTATTCCCGGCATGCCACTAACAACGGGGACGGTAAAGTCTCCCAGAGGTGGGTCCGCAGTCGCGGACAACCGCAGGCGGGGCCGTGGATCGTAAACCACGTGGCCCCAGTCCCGTCCAATGCGGAGTGTGAGAATACCCGGGGGTTTTTAGTGAGTAGGAGTCTCACATAACCACCGCTCCTCCCCGTGACGCGGTGGTATCTATGACGGATTTTCCCCCGGAAAGAAAAAAAAGGTTTAAAAGAAAAAACATTTTCCTCTCAAAATTATTTTCGATGTTATGAAATTTCGATCAAACGTTATTTCTGGAAAATGTCATTTCAGACTACTGATAGACCCTATCTGGACAATAGGGAGGGTGCTGTACTTGCACCCGGGGCGGCTCACATAAGGCACTACTGAGCTGATCTGGGGTTAGGACCTGACTTAGATAGTTCCTGTGCGAAACAAGGAACTATAAGGAAGGGAGGGGCACCATAAACAAAACTTATGTAGAAAGATATGAGACTGCTGTTTATTGAACTTATTACGAGTGATATACAGTATTTATTTAGGGTTGGACGTTGGCCATACGATACCACATTTTGTTGTGTATCGGGTTGTCTTCAGCATCAAATTTTTTTTATGTCAGATACTTTTGGCTTCACAATTTCGTGGGCCAAATTGTTAACGCTTTACCAAGCAAGGTTCGAAGTGATATATGTCATGATATTTATAAAATTAATTGAAACTACAAAACGCTACCGATAGGAATATTATGCCAGTGTTTGTAATTGAGATGTATACAAACGTGGCACATGTCAATCTGAAAAAAATTACAAAACAATTTTTTTTCCAAAGATTACGAAACAGTATGGATAAATTATAGGATAATTATCAAAGAAAACAAATGTTT